CTCGCCCAGTTGTTTTTTAGTTTCAGAGACGGAGCTAAACTACGCGCTGTGTGGGGGCTGTGGCCCGTCTAGCCCACGCTTACGCTTTTATTAATCACATGAAGAGCCTACTTGATATATTTTTTCTTTCTAAAAATGGCTAGCCCAGTTCTTTTTTTTGGAGAATACCAAAACCGAGGCCTACTTGCTTTTCTCAGCCCTGCTGGGCTGCAAATCTTTTAAGAAAGGGAGGGATGTAAGTAGTAAGAAATGGGCTTCCCCAGAAAATGGGCTATAAGTTGTAAGAAATGGGATGTAAATTTGTAAACCAAAGCCAACCGGTAATTGCATTAAAATATCATTTTTTCAGGATTTGTCTACTCTCTACTCTTATAAAAACCAAAGCCAACTGGCAATTACATTAAAATATCATCTTTTCTCCTACAAGATAAACTACTCATACAAATGCATCTTCATGTTTCGTGCAACGAACAGGCATCTTGCTAGTTAAGATTCCAAATTTCATTCATTTTTTTTGTGGAGAATTGTTTTTTGAATTTTATTTTGATATAACTTTTTGAAAATTATTTTTAATGTGACTCGAAATTTCGTGATTAAAAGAGTTCGGACCCCACCGAAATATGCAAATTTTCATTGAATTTTTTAGCAGTGCCCAGAATATATGGTCTGTAATGCTAATAAAAAGAATATGGGCTTCAAATATCCTTAAGAATTAGCAAATGGGCTGTAAATTATTAAAAATAATGGCTAATGGGCTATATGTTGTTTTTCACAGATTTGGAGGCTGACTTCTCGGCCTACTAGGTTGACGATGACGATGTCCTAAAAAACTTTTGACGCGTACGCAAGGCTTTGTCAACTTAGTCAACACACAGCAGTGACTATTGGATGTCCATCCAACGGCCGTCGTGCTTCTTCAATCTTTGATCTTCCTGCTCCAGCCGCCCAAACCAGCGCCGGCGGGACTGCCTGCTCCCTCCTCTCGTGGCTGGCTGTGCTGCCGCGAGGCCATCCCTCTAACCACCCACACATCCTGTTATTTTCTGGCGACGTCAGCCTCACCCCGCGGCCGACCAGTCGGCGCTCGTACTCCCCTCAGCGTGGGCATTCGCTGCGGTGGCTTCGCCTGCTCTGGGTGGTTCTTTTCCTGGGCCTCGCCCTCGTCCATCGCATTTGTGCTCTCGGCGCGGAGAGGTCAACATGGTCAACAAACAACAGCCATCGGAAGAGGCTGACAGTAGGGGCCCACACAGGGAAATGCCTCCTTATTACGCGCAAAATAGTGATTCCTCCACCTGATAGCTGGGACCCACCGGAAGGGCCTCTGTATTTCGTGAAAAAAACGTTCCCCCCCGCTATCAGCTCGGACCCACCGGAAGTGCCTCCTTATTACGCACAAAAAAATGAATACTCCCCCTGCTAGCTGGGACTCACCTTGGTGGGAGGCTGACTTCTGGGCCTACTAAGTTGATGGGGACGGAGGGCTTTGTCAACTTAGTTAATATGAACGATTCTAGCTCCAGTCACCGTACGATGTGCATCCAACGACCGTAGTGCCTCTTCAACCTCTGGTCTTCGTGCTCCAGCCGCCCAAAGCAGCACCGGTCGTGCCGCATGCTCCTGTCTCCCGTGGCCGGCTGTGCTGCCGCGGAGGCCTCACCGCCCCCTACTATTCCCACCGCTAGCCAGATTCTGCGGCAACGGCAGCCTCACACCGCAGCCGAACCTGTAAATCCTCGTACTCCTCTTCGCGTGGGCATCCACTGTCGCGCCTTCCCCGACTCCGCGTCGTCCCCTTCCTAGGCCTCGCCGTCGTCCACCACCGTGGTGATCTCGGCGCGCGTGGTCAACATGGTCAAGGAACGACTTCCATCGGACGTGGATTGTACATGGAGAGGCTGACAGTTGGATCCAAGGCCGCAGCAAGGAAGTGCCTCCTTATTACGCGAAAAATAATGATTCCTCCACCTGACAGCTGGGACCCACCGGACGGTCCACTGTATTTCGCAAAAAAAAAGGTTTCCCCCTGACTGCTGGGACCCACCAACTACATCTTCGCACGCAAGGAAGTGCGTCCGGGCCCAAAAAAACGATTTGCCCCCTGACTGCTGGGACCCACCAGCTACATATTTGCACGCAAGGAAGTGACTGACAGTCGTGACCCACCTGGTCGAAGCGTATGTAGCGTTGTCATTCTGGTCGCGAACGTGTATGTAGATACTGGTCGATGTAGAGGCGCGCATGTAGCATGTACACGTACGTACAACGGCCAGGGTGCAAGAAAGTAAATACAGCCACGTACATACATACGGGCGGGGTCTCGAACGCCTACTCACGCATATGTACGGCTAGGACTCGTGTCCATGGCTGGGTCGGAACGAAGAAACAGCGTCGTCGTCGTGTTCATGGGGAGCCAACCGGCTGGGTCGGAACGGAATGCGTCATCGTGTTCATTGGGAGGGCTTGGACGGAACAGGCGATGGAAACGAGGCCTGGCGTACCGTAGAACGGAGGAGAGGGCCTTGTGTTCGACCGGCCACGTTCGAAACGGGATCCTGTTCATCGGAAGGGGTCTGGCGTACCGCAAAACGGAGGAAATGGACTTGTGTTGGACCTCCTACGGTCGAAACGGAGTCCTGTTGATCGGGAGAGGTGTGGCGTACCGCAAAACGGAGGGAACGGACTTGTGTTGGAGCACTACGGTCGAAACAGGGGTCCTGTTCATCGGGAGGGGTGTGGCGTCCCGCAAAACGGGGACTCCACGGGATACTGTTCATCTCCACCGTTGACCTCCTCCAGCCTCCACGGGCGACTGTTCATCCACCGTCGACCTCCTCCAGCCTCCACCTGCGACTGTTCATCCACGGGCTCCTGTTCATCCAGCCTCCACCGCGCGCTACTCCACCGGCTACTGTTCAACCACCCCTCTCCACGGGCTCCTGTTCAACCACCCTCCATGGTCTACTATTCATCCAACCCTCCACCGTCTACTGTTCATCCAGCCCTCCACGG